AGAGAGAGAGAGAGAGAGATTGTGTAATAGACAGGCTTTCCTTAACTTTCTTCCTTTGCCTGTGAGAGTTGAATGGTTGTGACTCGAAACGAAACGGAATGGAAAACATTCAGAGAACCCCCAGGTACCCTATAGCCAATGGAAAAAAGAATTGTAAATAAACCTAGAGAAAATTGGTGCAACCAGATATCCAAAAGCTGAAGAAAACTGGAAGAATGTGAAAGTTGACATAAACAAGAAGAAAATTCTGCAGGGCAGGACACAGCCTTTGTTAAGACTAAAGTGAGCTCCCATGAGGTCAGGTCAGGTCAGCAGTCTCTGTGGGGTTTCTCGTCATGATCTTGACCTGGCTTGCTCATATAATCCCCCCTCCCTCTGTCAAACTCGACTCCCAGAGCTCAGCCTGGAGATTGGCTGTGGTTCTCTGCATATGCTTCTGTCAACTACTGCATGAAGCCTCTATGATGACAGTTAGGGTAGTCACCAATCTGATTACATGGGAAGGCCACTTCAGGCACCCTCTTCACTATTGCAGACAGTTGTGTAGCTGGATCTGTTTCTGGGACCCCTGGCACTGGGACCAGGATCTATTCCCGGTGCATGAGCTGGCTTTTTGGAGTCCATTAGGTATGGTGAGGTGCCTTGCTCAGCCTTGATGCAGGGAGGGGCTTGCTCCTTTCTCAACTGAATGGGCCAGGCTTTGTTGATTCCCCATGGAAGGCCTTACCTTTTTGAGGAGTGAATGGGAGGATGGGCTGGGGGAGTTGAGGGGAGCAGGAGGACAGGAGGGAGGGGGAACTATGGCTGGTTTGTAAAATGAATAAAAAAATAAAAACAAAAGACTAAGGGGAATGTGTTGCCAAAGTCGTAAGCTCAGTATCATAATATGATTCGTGATGGGGGAGGAAATACTTCTATGTATGTTTATAAATAAAGTACTTGCTTGGCCAATGAGACAGCAGGTTAGGCTGGACTAGGAGTCAAAGAGAATTCTGGGAAATGTAGTAGAGAAGTGGTGTGGCAGACAGGAGGTGACATAGCAAGGAGACTCATATTTAAGAAGAGGAAAAAGGAAATGTTGCTCTCTTTTCCCCTCAGCTCCTGCTCCAGCGGCACCATGTGATCCACCAGCTAGGAGGGACGCCAATAAGGCGTCCGATAAGATAAGTCTTATAAAATATAGAGATGTATGGCCATGGAGACTGAGCTAACAGATGAGAATCCTAGTCATTGGCCAAGCAGCATTGTAACTAATACAAGTCTCTCTGTGTATTCATTTGGGCCTAACTCGGGCAGGCGGCTGTCGTAAAGCTCACATGTGGCAGTGGGGCTCAGGCGGCTTTTGGCAGAAAAGATTTATAGTAACAGATTCACATTTTAAAAATTGTCTCAAGCCAAAGTGTTTGAGGAGAAATGGAATTAGAAATAGAACAGGGGCAAGGTACAAGCTGTCTGGGGTGCCATGGGAGGGAGGAAAGCCAGGAGCCACTGCCTGGCAGAGCATGTGAGGGAAGTGAGAGCCTATCTGAGATGTTTCTGCAGTGAAGGTCAGCAGACAAGTGGAATATTAAATAGGTTCTGCCTCACCTTACTAGGCTCTCATGCCATTGGCCAGCAGGGCTATGCAAGCCTTAAGACATAGAGAAGTGTCACCTATGTTAATGAAGAGAAAGGCTGGATACAGCAATAAACTGCCACAAATGATTTTCATAATAAAAATTTCAGTGGATTGGTAGTAATGAAATCCAGATTAAGAGTTCAATGAAAAAAAGAAAGGTTCTTAGTTATAGTGTCATCTTAACTATAATCATTTATTTAGAAAAGTATTTAATTTTGACTCATATTCATAAGATTTCTACAATACCAGGTTTTGTTCAAGGAAGGAAGAAATGACATAATTGATGCCCTTTAGTTTACTATCTAAAAAAGCATCCAAGGTCTCTTGCAGTATGATGGTAAGATCATTCAGCCTATATTAATTATGTTTGCATTTAGTTTTTAATGTAACTGATTTGGCCAAGCTCTTTATCTAAGCAGTCCAATACTGAGATAGCAACTCAATCAACCTGGTATCAGGACTATAGTCTACACACTTGGCTGGGTAGAAGGAACTAAGGCATTGGTTTAAACTTTCCTTAATGCTGTGACCCTTTAATACAGTTCCTCATGTTGTGGTGATCCCTAACCATAAAATTATTTTCATTGTTACTTCATAACTGCAATTTTGCTGAATTATAATGTGAGTATCTGATAGGTGGGATATCTGATATGTGACCACTGTAAAAGTTCTGTTCAACTCCCTCATGAGATCAAGACCCATAGGTTGAGTAAAATTACACTAAGGGATCACTGAAGCAGATATGTCACTTGTCTGACAGTGGCTCTAACAGAACTTTGGGTATAAAGTTAATGTGGAATTGAGAAGGCAGGGACTTGTGCTGGCAGATTTGGGGGAGGATCAGAAAGAACTAGAAGAGATAGTGGGTAAAAACAATCATGACACAAAGATGAGTAAAGCTTTCAGAACATAGGCCCAATGTTGAAACAGATTTAATATTAACCATTTGAAGCACAGCAAATTAGAAATGTAACCCTGGGATTCAGGAGACAAGGCTGGAGGCTTGAAAATTCCATTTCTGGGTTTATAATCCATCCTTTAGACTTGACCCTAACAGCCTACTTGTCCAGATTTCTTCAGCTTAATCTGAGAATTTGGGTGTACAGCAAAGGATGGTAAGCTCAAGCCAGTCTACATTACAGCAGGGAGGGGGAAAGGCTTAAGAGCCTCTGCTCCTAGCTGAACAGTTATTTCCAGTTGATGGCTGCTGAGGGAGAAAGAGTCAGTTTTCTCCAGTAGCATAGACTCTGGTAGGTAAATTTTCCATGCTCTAGTGAATAGCTTTACATCTTTGTATGTTTGTGTAACATTAATTTTGGGCTCAGTTTGTTACTAAAATAAGAACACAAATAAGCGAGGATGAAAGGGAGGGGGCATAAAGTTTGGAGAGAAAAATGAGGGGTATCCAACAGGAACTTGAGTGGTGATGTTCCAGTAGATATAATTTAAATGCATTGTATACATTCATGAAATTAACAAAGAATGAATAAAAATATAAAGAAAAGAGCAGTAAATACTAATTTCCCGTGTATTTTTGAACAATAAAAACAATTAAATTAACACTGTGATTTTGTTCAAGTTACTTAAGCTCTTGGAACCTTGGCTTTTTTGATGAGCAACATGAATTTCAACTTTTGTTCCACAGAACTGAGGGGAATCTGGATAATTCCTTTGGATGCTGAAATAAAAACACATAAATTATTTGACTTATAATGTATAATCAATAACAGTTTGTTTATCTCTATTTATACCTATGACTATTATTTTTTGCCCGTATGCCAGGGTACATTTTCAAGGCAAAAAGATATTTCTATAAGAAAAACAGATTTATCAATAGTGAAAAGTCAACTTCAGATAGAAGCAAAGGAGAAGGAATGAACTGTATCAGAAGGGCAGAAGGGCACAAAGAAGCACCCAGTGAAGAGTGCTGAGCACTGAGAAGTCCATCCTCCCCAGCACCTGGGACTCTCTTATATCCCCTTATCTTGGGCAAAGCAGAGACAGGTGCTGTGTGAACCTGTTTTTGTGAAAGCAGCTCTTTGGTTGTGGACTGACATTTTATTATTTTTAAAATATTTTTAGAATTTCATATATTGTATTTATATTATTCTATTCCCCCTTCTTTCTCAGCTCTTCTCGTGTCACCCCACTTTTTAATCAAGATTTTTAAAAAGTATTTTTTTATATTTTAAGGTTATAATTACATCATCTCCCCCTTCACCCTGCCTTTCACTGCTCTGTATCTTCCCCTGTATTCCACATCCCTTTGCTGTCTTTCAAATTCGTGGCCTCTTTTTTCTTTAATTGATGTTTTACACCGCCCCCCAACACACACACACTCCTAAATACAACCTACTCAGTTTGGATAATGTTACTTATACTTGTGTTTTGTGTTTTCAGAGCTGACTGTTTTCCATTGGATAACCAGTCTGTGTACTAGTCCATGAAGAAGACTCTTCTCCTCTCAGAATTCCATAATTGCCTGTAGCTCTTTGTCTAAGGCTGAGGCCTCTTGATCTTTCTCTTGTTCATGACAACATGCCTGTTGGAATCAACTTTGTTTAGGTCCTGCTTAGGCAACCATGTTAGTGAGACTTTGAGCATATTTGCTCTCATTCCCAGGTATCACACTCTCTGAGAAAACCCTCTGTTCCTCTGGCTCTTAGAATCTTTCTGATCCTTCTACCACAATGAACCTGAGCTTTAGGTGGTAATAATTGTGTTTTAGATGGGAATGGGCTCCATGACTCTGAATTTTGTTTGGTTGTGGTTTTCTGTAGTGTTCTATGTCTTTTGCAAAGAGAAATTTCCTTGACACAGGTGAGGACTATACTTATTCATGAATATAAGCTTAAGTAGTTAGAATATAGTTAGGAGTTGATGTTGGTTCAGTAAAGTAGCCATTGTGGGTCCTCTCTAAGATACATGATCTCCCTCTTGTTGAGAAGTTCTTACATCCAATTGGAGAGTATGTGTGTCGCTACTACCCCTTTAGGGTTATCATACTGTGATATTTGTTGTGGTTTATAGATGACATAACTATGTAATACTGCTGGCTGTTTCCGCCCTTTGAAAGATTTAATGGGGCATTCTAGTACCATGATAGCTAGTCCTCAGGGAGAAGGCATTCAGATAATCAGTTCCAGCTCAGGGACCTCTAGACCCTTAAATTTAATTCCATGGTGTTCAGCAATAGGGACTTACCTTCCTCCTTGGGGACAACAAAGTGCAATGGTCACAACCTATAATGTTTTCAGAGTCACTTGGACAACCTGACCAATATTTCAGAAAAAGCTTCTCTTACCTGGTGTTGGGTTTTTTTATATGCTCTATGGTTCTGGGGGTGTGCACTGTCAGCCCAGATAGGAAGAAGTTACCACATCACAGGGTGGAACTCAAGATTCATGCGTGATGATTTTAGTAAAAAAATTGGCAAGGAAGGCCAGGCACTGAGGTTGGTGCCCTGCCCTCCTTTGCCCCCCCAGCCCCTGTGAATGCTCTTTATACTGTTTTTCATAGAAACTAAACTATCTACTTCTCCTTTCTTCCCAACACTGACCTTTACAAAACAGTGTTGTGGAGAACATGGAACACTAAAACTTGCCTTAACATCAAATATCAATTCCTGACTCCAAAATACATTCTGTATGTATTGAAGAGGTAAATATTCAAGTTTTCAAAGAGAAATGTAAGCTAGTGTTTTATATTTGAAATAGGTGGATTTTCTAGGCTTTGATGCAAAGGGAATAATTAAATATAAAAATGATATCTTTCTATATAGAGAACAAATAGAAATCATGTTGACAACATTTTGGTGTGGCTATTAACTTATGCACATCAGAGAACTCTGCTAATGATTGTTAGCCATTGGCAAACAATGCACCATAAAGACATTCATATACTTTGACCCTGTCATATAACTTTGGGGATTTTATTGTAAAGTAATAATTCAACAGAAATAAATCTCAAATCAACAACAGTGTTTTAAGATTTTTCTTTTTTTAAAAAAATTTGCAGTCATCTATTGTTTAATTAGCAGAAGAACAGTAGGGGAATAGCAGAAAGGTCCAGTTCTCCTACAGTATATAGATATGTATAAAAGCCATTCGACCTCTGAGTTCCCACCTACATATTTGCAAAATCAGCCTCAGAAAGTCTCCCTCTTCAAATAAAAGGTTAAACTTGTATATTATAAGGCCCTTTCCAGACTTGGCTGCAAGTTACACAGTTCTACTTTATTTTTTTAATTTTTTTTATTTGAATTAGAAACCAGATTGTTTTACATGTCAATTCCAGTTCCCTCTCCCTCCCATCCTTCCCTGCCCCTACAACTAACACCCTACCTATCTCATACCCTTTCTGCTCCCAAGGGAGGTTGAGTCCTTCCATAGGGTTTTTCTTAATACTATATAAACATATGAAATAATAAAAACTATCAAAATATTCAGCAATAAAAATAGCTTATTAATTATGTAACAGCAGCAAGAGGTAATTTAATGAGCCATTAAAATTATAGTATATGGCTACAGAACCACATGGAAACACAATGTGTAATCACCACATGACAATATTTCTCTGGTTATTTGATGGCTGTTCTGTAGAATGTGTATGATGACTACATACCTAGGTGGCTATGAAAGATGGGCAAAAATAAAAGAGAGGGAACACACTGATATTCTTCATGGTTGAAGAAAGGAAACCAAATGCACCCAAGAGGACTCAGATGCTGCAGGCAATTTATGAAGCAAGAGGTATGTACAACAAGGCATACCTTCAGACATTATATGAAGGCAAGTGGGCAACAGAAAGAAGTGCACTGGAAGAGAAGAGAATGCCCCCAGAAGAGATAACAACTATCAAATATGTGTATTTAGATTGTTTACTACTTGTTAACAATGTAGACACTTCTGTCTCACTGTCAGGAAAGTTACTGTCCCTCAGTGACTTGTGTGGATAGATTCTTCAGGAGAACTTGAAGAATGCCACTGAGAAGTGGCTGGTACAAGTGTGTAAAGCTACCACATACTTCATACCCACATAGCATTCTGGAGCTCCCTTTGGGATTCAGGCACTTCACTTGTGGGTAATAGAGTATCTGTTTTCACAGTGCAGCTCTGGACATTACTTGAATTACCACAGAAGTGCCAATAAACAACCTGGCATATAGCAAGCCCTATGCACTTTTGTTATTACCAATGGTCATGCTCTTGCTCTTCTTGTTCCTCTTCCTCCTCCTCATACCCCTCCTCTTCTTTCTCACCCCCTAATCATCATCATCATCATCACATAACAACTGAGGATTTTTGGATCCAAGTGTTAGAAGTTGTATTTAGGGTTGTGGACCAAAAAAAATTATTTTTCAAGATTTGGGTAATTGTGTCTGGTTACACTGATTTAACTTTCTTTAAAAAGGAAAATACAATTTAGTAGATTGTCTAAATATTTAACACTACTTTCAGATGTTTAGTTGCTTACCATTCAAAATTAAGGAGGGAAAAACTACCACATTTAAGCTGCAAAGAAAAAATATATTAAATACAAAGCTAAATAAAATAAAATAATTAATTAGACAAAATATTCCTTGATCAGAAAAATATAGTTAAGACAAGAACAGAACAGGGGCAATAGGGTCGGTATTTATTAAAATTTTAATTTATTTCAATTCAATTGATTGTGATTATGGTAAAAGTAGTTCAGCATTGATTTCAGAATATCGATAAAAAGGTTTCCCTGAAAATTGAAAGGAGAACCAGGAATATTCTGTTAAACAGAGAGAGATAGAATATCAGTTTTCATTTGAAATTTAGTTTCTTTCAAATTGAAAACATTAGATGATATAAAATCATGGGGAAAACTGTAAGACAACATGAATGTATGATACAGACAAACACCATGTAAGAATATTTGTGTACTTTTCAAAATCCTTTAATTTTTCTATTTTACTTATAAATATTATGAGTAGTTATGTTTATATGCACAATTTAAATATTTAATTTTTAATGAAAGGCATGATATGATGTCTGTCATTAAAAATTTTAATCTTTTGAAGTTAATTACTGCAGGACACATACATTTTTAACTAGTTAAAATGATTTGTCTATCAGTTGCTGAAGTGGGTCACAGAGACTGGGCTTGAACCAAAAACTATACAACATCTGAGGTATTTGCAAATTCAGAACTGTTACATGAGTTCATAGAAACAGCTTAAATTAATAAGCCCAGGAGAAAGGTATGAATGGTGTGCATTTGAGGGTAGGGTTACTGGAGAGGAGAGGGAAGGGGAGATAACTCAGTGGGTTCAAGTACTTGCTGTGCAAGCCTGATGACCAGAGTTCTATCCCTGGAACCCATGTCAAAGCTAGGATGCAATAGCCCATGTCTATAATTCCAGCACTCTCTATAGCAAGATGGGAGTCTAGATAGGAGAACAACATGGCAACTTGTGACCAGCTACCCTGGCTGTTTGCTGCTCAGTAGAAGAAATAAGAGAAATCCTGTCTTAACTAGGTGGAAAGAGAGGACTGACTCAGGACAGTCGTCTTCTGGCTTCCAAAATAGCACAGTGGCCTATGCACCTACACACACACAGACACACACACACACTTTTTTAAAAGGGCTACGGGGCTAAGATGACTTGGATTTAGATGTGGTCAGAAACTGACACATGTCTTTTGGGTTGTAATCAATACCAAAGATTCAAGACACAGACATACACTGCTATTCTAATTGTCATGGAGCCCAGTGCTCAGCCTCAGCAGCTGAGCCATGCATACCTTTGGTAATCATGGATATTGACTGAAGAACTGTATCTATGAAGCTTCCAGTCACTGGCCGCTGCTAGATAAGGATTAAAGCCCACTGAATATTTTTGAAACTGTGTTATTTACAGATCTATCACGTATCAATGAGATAAAAGCAACTGGAGCTACAGAAAATGGGTAGAGTATTTGAAATACCCATAGATTCTACCCATCAGTGGGAACTTACAGCATCTTTGTAAGTCAATTTGCAGTACCCTTCAATATTATCTAAACCCTCCCTTCTTTAAATGAATTTTGATAACAACTGGCTAATCCAACACTTCTGAAAAAAATCACAGTAGGTCTTACTGGAGGATGAGATTTTGACCTAAGAAGGTGCTGGATCAAATGTCAGTTATGCTTGCTGCATTTGATTATCTCTTCAAAACAGGGTCACTTGCTTTCCTCCTCCAGTATCAAGGGAGGAAAACGTAAAGTCAAAATATTTGGCACTGAACTTAGAAATACCATATAGTGTTTTTTTCTATGAACAAAAAATGTTATACAGACAGAAGTGTGTGTATTTCTAACTTAAAGTGGTGCCTCTCATCATTTTTGCATTGACATAAGTAATGCTAATTTCTATCTATGTATTCTCAGAGTAACCTATCTTCTAGGCCTGTCTGTTCTGCTACCTCCTCTATGTGTTTGATATCAATTCTGAACCTTTGTGTTCTGAAAGAGTGTCAAGAAGGACAGACCATTGATGAAGGTGTGAGTATCTCTATCTGCCCAGAAAAAGCCAGTGTAGTCCAGCAAGAGTTTGTCACAATGACTTGAGGCAGGTGCTTGGTCTTTCCACTCAAGGACACACACACACACACACACACACACACCTTTACCCAATCCTCAGTGAGTGGATTTCTCTTGTTGATCTGGATCAAGAGCACAAAGGAGTTGTAGTAGCAGTCCCCGCTTTGTGGTATCAATCCTGATCCAAACTCATTGTATAGCTGCAATAATAGGCTTGAAAAACAGTCCAGGGGTGTGGTACTAATTGCTCAAATGGGTATGTGTTGTAAAATATTAGTTTGAGACATGTTACGTTTATTTATGCTGTGGAATAACAGTTAAATGATGCAAAAATATATTACATTCTTTTATGTTGCATTTGTTTAACTCTGTAAAGCTGTGTTACCTTGCCTGCCCAAAACACCCAATAAAGAGTTGAATGGCCAGTAGCTAGGCAGGGAAGAAAAACAGGCAAGGATGTCAGGCAGAGAAAATAAATAGGGGAGAAATCTAAAGAAGAGAGGTGGAGCAAGAAAAAGAGAGGAAGACTTCAGGGTATAGCCACTCAGCCACATGGCCAGCCATGGAGTAAGAAGTAAAGAACGATATATAGAATAAAGAAAGGTAAAACACATGGAGCCAAAAATAGTTAAAGAGGAACAGGAGAATTTAAGTTAGAAAAGCTGGCTAGAAACAAGCCAACTAAGACTGAGAGTTCCATTCCTAAATAAGAATACGTGTCCCTGTATTTATTTGAAGCTGGGTAGTGGGCCCTCAAAGAGTTAAAAAACAAAGCAAAACAAAAACAAACAAAATAAAAAAATCCAACTATAGGCATGTATTTAAAAGAGAGGGAAATGAAATGATCATATCAAATACACTGTAGTCTGGGTTGGACTCCCTGAGATCCCGAGTCTGCTGTGTTCCCAAAGCCCAGTGTAAATTAAATACCGCAAGACACAGAGCAGCCCAGCAGCCAGTGCTTGCTTGGCCCTGCTTTTTATGCATTGGGGAAATATGTCACCCCTGCATCACTTCGGCTTGAACTCAGTTCTCCAAATTAGACAATCCTTAGCAAAAACACAAGGAGGAAGCACAGCTCCACACCCCAGGCTGTTCAGAGAGGAAGGAGAGCTCCACACTGCAGGCCTTCCAGCACTAAACAAAACATCCCTAGGCATAATGCCTCTGACTGCAGGGACAGGGTCACGTGCTAAGGTAAAGAAATGTCAAGAAACTCATAATATCAGAAAACATGTCTTAAAACACATATTTATGTACTACTGATTTTTCATGCTATATGTGAGATGCTACCAATGATGTAGAAAAAGACAAGCCCCTGCCTCAAACATCAAAACTTTGCCTCATAAGGAGAAATCAAGTCTCGGGTGCCCATAGTCCCCCTAACACAGCCAGTTTTTGAATTTGCCATTTCACTTCACAGAAAATACAGCAGCCCCCACTGATAGTCTTACATGGTACTTGTATAAATACCTGCCTCTTGCCAAAAAAGAAAAAAAAAAAAGGAAAGGAAAAGGAATAGAAACACTAATTTAAATGATATGACTGTGGAGTGGGGATGAGAGGTAAAAAAATCAGGCTGGGATTACAGTAGTTGAAGCAGGCTCTGTGGTAACCCAAGTGAAGATGGTTTATCCACAGGGAGGAGTCTGGCAAGCTTCAAAGCAGACACAGAAGAGCTGGAGGCCATTTAGTATGAGGAAAGTAGTCTCACGAGCCCGGGAAGTCTCCAAGGCCTCTGTTTATACAGTATGGCAAAGCCACTGATGTTCCTGTGTAACAGTGTTAGGGAATAAAAACCATATTCTTCTTTAGGGCTTAGGAGCTATGGAAAGAGTTTTAGAGATTTTTTTTAATGATATTTAAATTCTTAAAGAAATGTTATAGCTGAAACAGTTACATGCACATACCCTCTGCATAGGACAGTGTATTTCGTGGCAATGTAAAATAAACAACAATACTATAGTTTATATAGGACACATGAATATATGCTGGCTGTTTGATTTCCCAATGACTTTTAAGACCAGTATCTATCCCTGGTGTATTAACTAGTTTGTTGGAGCCCGTTCTCTATTGTGGGATGCCATGTTCAACCTTAATGCAGCAAGTAGGGGCTTGGTACTGCCTCAACTTAATGAGCCAGGCTTTGCTGAGCCCCATGGGAGCCCTTACCCAGTGTGAGGAGGGGAGGGGAGGTG